CTTAGAACACTTCAAGAAACACTCAATAAGCTCAAAACTCAAAGAAAGGGGCTAGGTTTTGGGGAGGACGATTCTAATCAGTGGAGGCTGAGGTAAGGGAAGGGAAGGTGCTCATAATGTTGTTTAAATAGCCCCCAAACCCTAAATATTAGGGTTTCCTCCAGACATGAGTACGCCCAGCGTACTAAGGCGGACCTTAATACGCTTAGCGTACTCCTATGTATGCGCGACGTACTCCTTCTTGGCCCAAAGTTACAACTTTGGTCCTTATGCTTGTATCGGCCTTCACTTCCAAACTCCAAGAGCTATAAATGACAAGGAAAAAGGTAGAGGAGAGTTCGGAAATACCTGGAAATCTTGGGGTGTTACAAGTAGGGTCGTGGTATCATGGAACGCGGGACGGGACCGACTCGGCGAGTTAAAGGGTCGACTCGGCGAGTCCGAGCTGTTTAAAGAAAACCCTAAATTTTGGGGTTTGCCCCTATATAAACAACGTTATATGCCTTTGTAGCCTCCCTTAACATCATAAGAGATCGTTTTCGGCCGCAAACACTTGGGTGTGAGAAGTGAGAGCTTTGGGAGCTTAAAACTTGGGATTTTGGAAGGAATTCCAAGCTTGAAGAAGAAGTATCAAGGGGGAAATCACTAGATCTAGCATCTAGTTCGTCTTGGGCATTGAATTGAGGTATGAATCTGTTACCTTAAGCCTAGATTCTAGTTGAGGGTTATGAACAACTTTGAGGAAATGGAAGCAAGCTTAGATCTGGGCCTATCACAAGGATATGGTTCCAGATCTGGACCCTCTTAGGTCCCAAATATCATAAAGTTGCACCTTTTATTAAGCTCATTCCCTCTCCATGAATGAAAACCTTGTTTGAAGGTTAGTTTTGGTGTTATGGCCATGTGAGGCTTTGCATGCACGTAAAGTTTGTAACTTTATGTGTTATCCACACTAGGAGAGTATGGATCTGAAGTTTGAAACCTTAAATCCCACTGGAAAGAACTGAATACGTGAGAACCCGTCGAGTCCCTCTAGTGACTTGACGAGTCGAGAGGGTTCTCTCATTCACGGCCAAGGGTTCACGGTCGAGGGTTCACGGCTAAGGGTCCACGGTCAAGGGTGTACGGTTGGTAGTTTACGGCCGTGAACATCAAGGAACTCGACGAGCCCCTCGGGTGACTTGGCGAGTCGATGTGTAAGCAGGGAACCCGACGAGTGACTGATTGTACTCGACGAGTCAAGGTCAATATGGACTGTTGACCTTGACTATAGACCTTGACCTTGACCAGGGTTGGCCCTGGGGGTATTTATGGGTTTATGCTGAGTTATTTACTCATTGAATATAGGAAGTTTGGGAGGAGCAGCGTGGGATATATCTGTTTTCAGTTCGCCAGTTCAGCCTTTGAAAGGTGAGTCTTCTCACCATACCCATGGGTCTAAGGCACCAAGGCCAGTCCATTATGTGATTATGTTATATGTGTTGGTCATTATGTGATTTGATATGATATGTGATTTGGTATGATATGTGATTGTGTGTTTTTGCATGGAAGACCCCCGGGGGAGCCCGTGGCATTGGATATAAGACCATGTGGGGTAGCCCATGGCATTCCTAGGTAAAGACCATGTGGGGGAGCCTATGGCATTAGATGTAAGACCATGTGGGGTAGCCCATGGCAGTCCTAGGTAAAGACCATGTGGGGTAGCCCGTGGCATTCTTACAGGTTTTATGTATGCATGGCTTATGTGTTATGTGCGTAGCTTTGATCAGCTAACATGATATGTGTATGTGTGTGGTATGCTCTGGGGGACTCACTAAGCATTCGCTTACAGTTTGTGGATTTGTTTCAGGTTCATCTGAGTCCAAGGGCAAGGGCAAAACTTGATAGCGCGGCATGCACTCTCTCTCAGGCGACTTTATGGGACACTCTGATATTTGAAAATAAAGTTGTAATGAATATGGATTGAAACAATTGTTTTGGAAATTCTTGATTTATGGAAATGTGTTTGGTTAATTAAAAATGAAAAATTTCTTGAAAAAAATTGGGTCGTTACAGCAGACCCATCGCAATTCTAATGAAGCTAGACCACGACGTGACAAGGGCCTTACCAAGGCGTGGTAGCAGGTTTCATCTATTGGCATGGCAAGGGCCTTACCAAGGCGTGGTAGCAGGTTTCATCTATCGGCATGGAAAGGGCCTTACCAAGGCATGGTAGCTGGTTTCATCTATGATTGTTTTTCCGTGTGGCTGCCATAATCCGATCAGTAGTTGGCCACGACGTGGTGGCTGACCATTGGCTTTGACCGTTGACTTTTTGATCGGGTTGACTTTTCGTCAAAATGATAGTCTTGGTTGGTACCTTCTGTGATTCATTAAGTGGTCTGTAGTAGTCTTCGCACTATACTGTATAGAATACTAGATTGTCTTTGTGACTCTTACATGTATGTTGGGCGGGACTCGTTATGTATGTGGTATTTTGGGGGACTCACTAAACTTTATGCTTATGATTCAAGGTTTTATTGTTTTAAGTACTTCTAGTAGCAAGAGAACGGAGTCGGCTTAATTATATTGCATCCACCGATGGTTTTCCGCACCTTATGATTTTGGGATTACTCTAATGTTTTCATAAAACATTAAACTCTTGTTTTGGATTTCTTGACTTATGGTATTATGGAATGGTTTTTAGTACTTTAAAAACGGAAAATTTTCTTTTGATTTTTGAGATGTTACATAGATCAACTAACTTTATGTTTCACCTTATTCCTACTCTAACCCCTTTCGCTTTCTCACCAAAATCCCATAATTTTGTCTATCTAAATTACCATGGATGCAACCGTCAAAGCAATGCTTACGACCATGCTTGGCTTCACTTTCATCTCCTTTCCTAATTTTGTCTATCTAAATTACCAATGAGATGATAGTTGTAGGAATTTGGTTCTAGATGCTTCGTTTGATACAAAATCGAGATGCTTGAGTTTTACAGGTTCATCTGACATAATCAAAATCCTTTGAGTGTACGTGCAAGTTATGGATGAAGGGGAAGCACCGAATGAGAAAAAGATGAGGAAGATGGGAAGAAATGAATGAGATGAGTCAATGTAAGAGAAAAGTTGTGTGGGATGAGGGGTGGTATTTTTGTTTTCTTTTTTATAATTGAAATTAAACCAAAAATAATAATAATAGAAGAAATTAAATAGGAAAAAGAAGTCATTTCATCTTGCTTAAAGACCATACATGTAAGTTTTAGAAACGACATACCATGTTCCTCAAAAACATTAGCTGAAGTCATGACATTTGCTAAATCATAGTGACCATTTATGTAATTTTGTTATAAATATATAGAAAATATTTTAAAAATATCAACCAAATACATAATACATAATGTTGTAATGTAATAATATTTTATTTTTATTTTTCTGTCATTCAAGATATATTATAAAATATTTTCGATAAATTGTTACTTCATTTATGTCAATATCCCAATTCCCATAGTATCCATATCTTTTCATGTGATGTAAAACTATACCAAGGGTTTTCGGGCTAACGGTAACGAGCGACTCTCTCCGATGAGATGGGTTCAAGTCTTTTAAGAGATAAAGATATCTTAAGAGATAAAGATAGGTGATATTTACGAGGATAGTTAGTTTGTCCTTAAAAAAAATGCTAACCCTCTACAAATTCGATATATACACATAAATCTATTGTTACTTAACCTGCGGTTCGTTGTTGGCAGCGAAGGGGCCACTGGTCAAGCTTTTCATTTTTGTCGCTCCCCCAATTTATATGAAGACTGCACATCTGATTAAATCAGCTTCTAGTTACAAATCAGTGTATAAAACGACTATAAATCAGTCAATCGTGGACACCTTTTTGCTACAATGTCAAAATTTCAAACAATTCAACCAAATTATTTGTCAAATGATCGTCACTGGATTCATAAAAGACGCATATGCAGCAAGCAGGATCCTCAACTTCTCTACTGGTCAATCCTCATTCATTAATCTTCACTACTCTCGTAAAATCTTTGATCACATCGAGAGCTCAAATGGGTTTATCTATAACACCATGATGCGTGCTTACTTGCAGACAAACCATCCAAAAGAGACCGTTTTTCTTTACGAGTTGATGTTAAATAACAAGCACAATGTTTATCCGGATAGCTATACTTATCCTCTACTAATCCAAGCGTGCATCGCCAGGTGTTCAATTTTGGAGGGGAAAGAGGTACACAACCATGTAGTGAAAATGGGTTTCGATTCCGATGTTTATGTACGAAACAATTTGATCAATATGTATAGTGTCTGTGGCGATATGGTGGATGCACGGAAGGTGTTTGATGAAAATCCTGTGAGAGATTCAGTTACATGGAATTCAATTTTGGCTGGGTACGTTCAGATGGGTAATGTAGAAGAAGCAAAGCTGATATTTGATCAGATGCCTGAGAAGAATATAATCGCATCAAATTCCATGATCGTATTGTTTGGTCGGTGTGGACGTGTCCCTGAAGCTTACCAGTTGTTTATCAACATGAAAGAGAAAGATCTCGTTTCCTGGACTGCATTAATTAGTTGCTATGAGCAAAGCGGCATGCATCAACAGGCTTTGACTTTGTTTATCGAAATGAATGGAATTGGAATCAAGACAGACGAAGTTGCAGTGATTAGTGTTCTTTCTGCGTGTACTCAATCATCAGTTATGAGCACAGGAGCATCCATCCATGGATTAATTCTAACGAGAGGAACTGCATCATATGTTAACATCCAAAACGCTTTGATTCACATGTACTCAACTTGGGGAGATATATCAGCTGCAGAAAAACTCTTTAATTCAAGCACCCACTTAGATATTATTTCTTGGAACTCCATGATCACTTGCTACTCAAAAAGTGGCTCACTTGATAAAGCCCGTGAGGTGTTTGATAAAATGTCTGAAAGAGATGTAGTGTCATGGAGTGCACTTATATCCGGACACTCCCAAGTCGGTCTATTCGATGAAACTCTAACCTTGTTCCATGAGATGATGGTTCATGGAACCGTTAAGCCAGATGAGACCATTTTGGTTAGTGTCGTCTCGGCTTGTACACAGTTAGCTGCTCTTGACCAAGGTCAATGGGTTCACACGTATATAAAAAAGAACAATTTAGAGGTTAATTTTATTCTTGGTACTACCCTTATAGACATGTACATGAAGCTAGGGTGTGTCGAAAGTGCAAATGAGGTTTTTAATAATATGGAGAAAAAAGGAGTATCATCATGGAACGCTATGATTCTAGGGCTTGCAATGAATGGAGAGGTCGAGAAGTCGCTAGAAATGTTTTCACAAATGGAAAGATTTGGTGTAGTCCCTAATGAGATAACATTTGTGGCGGTTCTTGGTGGTTGCCGCCATATGGGGTTGGTGGAGAAAGGGCGGCACTACTTTGATTGCATGATCAATATACACAAAATTGAGCCGAATATCAAACATTATGGATGCATGGTTGATCTTCTTGGGCGTGCAGGGTTTCTTGAAGAAGCTGAAAAGCTAATTGATAGTATGCCAATGGCACCCGATGTAGCTACATGGGGTGCGTTGCTTGGTGCTTGTAAGAAACATGGTGCTATTGAAATGGGAAAGAGGGTCGGGTTGAAGCTGATTCAGCTTCAACCCGACCACGATGGGTTTCATGTTTTATTGTCGAATATTTATGCTTCGGAGGGAAGTTGGGATTATGTTTCGGATATAAGAGAGTTGATGATTCAACAAGGAGTTGATAAAATGCCGGGGTGTAGTGTGATTGAAGAGAATGGTGTAGTGCATGAATTTCTTGTTGGGGATAAGACACATCCTCGTATTCGTGAGATTGTGGAAACTTTGGATATAATTAGTGGAGAAGTGAAAATGGTGGGTTGTTCATCGGATACGAATGAGGTTTCTTTTGACATAAATGAAAAAGAGTTTTTTAATGTTTGTATGTAAGGAGATGGGAATCCAAATGTAAGGTTTCATGTTCAAGCCTAGGCATCACCTTCCTATATTGGTTGTGTCATGTGGGACCGGTTGTTGGGGATAATCATGGATGGGTTTTAACTTTCTATAACGAGGATAACAAGGAAGCATTTCTCTTTTGGCTAATTGCTGCTACTACTAACTTTTATTCGTTAATCTTTAGAAATACCAATGTAATACTTTCATTTATTCATAATAGAACATAGTTCTTTAACAAATCTACTAATTATAGCAATGTCATCTAAATAGTAAATACAAAACAATTTTTAATGTTATGATTATGTAGATTTTTCAAAATATAATGTCCTAATAAAAAGAAAAATGAAAGTACAATGCTATAACTTGGTACATTTTTTTAATGTACAACACGTTAAAAATAAAAATAAAATAAAAAAGTGGAAGAGCCTATGAAATATATTGGTAAGGAAGCGTGATTCAGCAAGCTCCGTGACTCACCCCATGTGATGGGTCTCAGAGCGGGTTTGGTTTGGTGTGGTAGTTCAGAGGATGCAACTTACCCCTTAGGGAGGAGGGAGTCATTCCCTCCCAACCCACCGAACCCACTGTCACATCATTTTTTCTCTTTTATTTTTCATCATCTTTCCCAACCCACAACACACGGAAACCCTATCTTTTTTAACCCACTCAACCCATTCAATTAAAAAAAAATACAAAACAATCAAAGGTAAAATCTTAATTAGCAATAGAGTTACCGACGGTATCACTCCCGCTTCAACGGGTTGGTTAATTGGTTTCACTAACCCACTTCATCATCTCTCTCTACTTTCTCTCTCTCATTTTCTCTTGTGCCATGTGTTTTAAAACTTGTACCATAGTTGTTTTGTATTTTTTTTAAATTGAGTGGGTTGAGTGGGTTGAAAAAGATAGGATTTCCGTGTGTTGTGGGTTGGGAAAGATGAAGAAAAAGAAGAGACAAAAATTAATGTGACAGTGGGTTCAGTGGGTTGGGAGGGAACGACTCCCTCCTCCCTTATATTTTGAAAAATCTACCTAACTATAGCAATAAAAATTGTTTTGTATTTGATGATATAGCTATCAGATTGGTAATTTTTTTTTCATAATACAACATTGTAATAGAAAGAAGCAAAAATAGTATAATAACCAAATCAATAAAAGTACATTGTTATTTCTTGCATTTAACATTTTTTTCCCAATACGGTGTTTAGTTCAATCTTAATGTTTTATTTTAATTCTATTTGACTGAAATAATATTTTGGCATATTAAAGGAGTCCATCGTTTTCGATGTTTCTTCAAGGAATACATAACATAATTGAGCATCATACTCTTATTGATTTGCTTATTATTATATTTCTCAGTACAATATTGTATGACAAAACTACCCAATTATAGAAATGTAATCCAAATACAAAACTTTTTTACTATTATAATTAGGTAAAAAAAATCAAATATACCTACCTCATAAGAAAAAAAAAATGAAAATTTTAAACTCAAGAAACTTCAAGTTTCTCTACCATGTGACGACCCAACACGCTAAGAACCTCGTAAATGGGCCCCACATACGAATCACGCCTGTCTCCATCTCCGGCAACAAAACTATAAATCCGATCACGAACCTCCACCCAACTCCTGGCCGCAACTTTCTTATTCCCGGATTCATTCAACAACCGCCTCATCTTCACCCTATCACCCCATTTACCTTCCAAAGCATACATATCACCCAACAACACATAAATCCCCGATTTCCTAGGCTTCAAATCCAACACCTCTCGGGCACATGCACTCATCATCTTCAGCTGCCCGTGTGCCCGACAAGCTCCAAGGAAAGCTGCCCAAACCGATTCATCACCCTTAAACGGAATACTTTGTATCACCTCATACGCCTCCCCAACCCGCCCGCCCCGCCCGAGCAAATCAACGACACACGCGTAAATCTCTCTACTCGGGATAATTCCATACTCATTAATCATCAATTTAAAGTAATCCAACCCCTCATTAACAAGTCCCGAATGACTACAAGCCGTAAGAATTGCCATAAATACAATCGTATCGGGTCGTATACCCGAATCCACCATTTCGTTAAACAACCGAACCGCTTCGTTTCCGTACCCGTGGTTCCCGAATCCAATCATCATCGAAGTCCACGAAACAACATCCCGATTACACAATTCCGAAAATACCCTTTTGGAATCCTCGATGTCACCGGACTTTGCGTACATGTCGATTAGCGAATTCGCTAATGGCAAATTGTTATCGAGTCCGATTTTGAAAATCTTTCCGTGAATTTGTTGACCGGAGGTCAAAATCGAGAGATTAGTACACGCGGTGATGAGGCTCGAGAATGTGAAGTGATTTGGGTGACACCCGAGAAGCTCCATTTGTGAAAGCAAGTGTAGAGACTTGATTGGATTGGAGTTTTGGTATCCGGATATTAATGTGTTCCATGTGATGTCGTCTTTTTCGTTCATTTCTTTAAAACAATTGTCGGCTTCTTGGAAACGGTTACATTTGCAATACATGTCGAGTAATGAGTTTGATACGGGAATGTTACGGTCAAACCCGTGTTTGACCACGGAAGCGTGGATTTGTGTTCCGTATGTGTGAGAGGTGATTCCTGCGCATGCGCGGATTGCAATGGAGAAACTATACGGGCTTTGTTCGGCTTCCTCCTGTTGAAAAAGGAATGGAATGAGGAAGGAATGGAATGGAATCAGTTATTACAATTTACAATTTACATACCATAAACATTTGTTGGAATATTTCAAGGGCTGCAACCCCATTGTCTCTATGAGTGAATCCGGTTATAAGTGTAGTCCAAGACACCTGATTTTTCACGGGAATCTCTTGAAACACGGAATGAGAAAGCTCCATACTAACACAACAAGTGGCGTACATGTCTAAAAGGGCATTATCGACATATATGCTGGCACCAACAAGTCCATGCTTCAAAGCAAGGCCATGGCTTAAAGCACCACAGCAATGGGACTTCATTCCTTTACAAGCCTTTAAGACGCTTGAAAAGGTGAAGGCGTTTGGGTGATCGGAACTTTCCCTCGTCATATCTTTAAACATCATCCACGCAGAGTTGTGGTGGTTACAAGTTGTGTACCCAGAAATCATGGCTGTCCATGCAACTACGTCTCGGTCAGGCATTTCTTCGAACAGTTGGCGTGCCTGGTTGAGCAGGCCATTATTGAAGTACGCCTTGATGAGATTAGTGGATTGTTTGGCGTGAGAGTTTGATTGAAAAGGTTGTGGGTTTGATTGAGGTTTGTTACGAATTAGTAGAGGGATTTGATTGGGCAGTTTTCTGAAACTCATGGTTGCACTTTTTTGATTCCCATGGTGATCAATTGTGTGTGGCTTGCAAGCTTTTCCACTGCAGGAAAACGTCGAGTGTAGCAGTGAAAATCTCGGAAGTAAGACCTTTTGGTTGGGGGTATAATGAAACACAAAAGATGAAAAAAATTTTAAAGGTTTTTGCACTTACAGTGCTGCGATCAAGGAGACATGAGACATAAGTTTTTTCCAAAAACGCCACCAAAAAGGACAGTTGGGCTTATTTATTTTTTCTTTAGTACAATCCATCTTATGAAGAGCCCAGCCCAAATACTTTGTGAAAAGTCTAAAATAATTTAATAGATAGCAAACCAACATATGTAATCATACTTATCACACTTATGTCTAGTTTGATAGTCATTTTTCCAGTTCTAAACAGATATTTCTGGCTGAATAGGCCGGAAAGACTGTTTGATTTGCAATAAAAAAATAGGTTTTTCCCGATAAGATATGTCTTTCCCACAAAGCCTCAAAATCATATCTTACTGACTGAATTGACTGGAAAGACAATTGTGCCCCAAACCTCGCCTCTTTCTTTCTTCTCTTCGGCGCGCTCTTCATCAGACATCATCGCCTCCTCACCAAGCTCCCTACTTCGTCGCCGGGTAATATGGTTATTTATCATTCAGCACAGTCAATCATATGTACAACCAAATAACATGGTTTCTTTCTCATTCAATAAACTTTTCCCAGATAGATTCTATCAAACGGACCCTTAGAACTAGTCTTATATTTTTTTGGTTACCGGTTAGCGATATAAAAGCAATGGATCGGTTTTATTATCTTTTACGTATCATACTTTTATTTATTTTCATAATAGCATTTTACTTGTATTTTATTTTTAATAATAGCAACACTTGCATATCACAAGGTAAAAAAACAACAAAAAAATATTGAAAAAATCATTGTACTTCTAATAGTTTGTGTAATATAGCATAATACTATTACGAGCGTGTTTAACAAAACTAGCAGATAACGAGAAGCTGGTAGCTGATAACGTTTTGTTAAACGCTGCGTGAGATAGTTTTTAAATTTTGAGTGTTTTTTTTAAACCAAACGCTAAAAGCATCTAGTGTTAAACGATATTTTTTTGTTTAAAATGACACATTGTGTCAAACGCTAGAAGCTAGAAGCTCCCAAACGCTCCGTGCCAAGCACACCCTACATTCTCTTACTAGGTGAACAAAGAATCAGATCCCAATAAGAAAAAATCTACCCCTATGTTATAAAAAACAAATTTGAAATATTAATGCATAACATCAAATTTTAACCATCACTATTTCAATACTTAAAAAACACAATCCTAAATTGATTCAATGATGTATATTCGTTATCCCAATTTGAGACTTAAGAGTGTGACATTTTCTTGCAGAGGCAATTTTAGGTGCTCATATATGATGGTATGTCCATAACAGACTACATGTTGCTTCTAGCAATTTTCCTGATATAAAAATAAATATTCAACTAATTAAGTGTATTTAATTATAATTAATTCATATTAACAAAGTATTATTTAATCTACTTTCAATCCTTTTTATTACGACATTTTAGTTTTGATATATTTTTTATTAAAGCGTTGTACTTTGTAAAGGCTACAACTTTTAAATTTTAAATTTTTATCAAAATTATAGCATTGTACATTCAACTTTTT